GAGACTCACCCAACCAACATCCTGCTGACAACATTATCCATGTGCTGAAGAGCAAACGCGTAAAGCTATGCATTAGGGGAAGCACTGGGGAAAAGAATCTTCCTGTCAATAACAGCTCTGCACACCTGCCTGCTCCTAAAACCTCAACAACTCTTCAGTGTTTTGCTGAGTAAGTGATTTCCGCTGGTAAGGCTGGAATGAGTCTTTAGGGGGATTCTGCATCAGCATTCGCTTGGAGAGGTGTGGACCATATTAGGTAACTTACAGATAGTTACCCAGGGAGATGGCTGGATGGCGAATGCAAGCGAGGCAACATTCATGCTCCAATTCATATAGAAAAACATCAGTTTCCAAGATTGAGAAGTAAATAACTATGAGGGCCTTAGGATCTAAATCGAGTCCCCGGAGCAAAGGTTACAGCAGCAATGGGTTTTTTCAGCATGAGGATTTTTGGACTTTGTTCAGGGCTGCCTGATGTTATTTTTCCCACTGAACTATTTCCCCCTCTTTAACTATAAACACAAGATGCCCATGATTCAGCCACAAAAGTCACCGAGTTGTCACTGCACAGCACCACAAGGGTGGAATTTACAACAGGCCAGGCTACGAGTGCAGGCAAAAGGCAAAAAATAATTAAAGGGGTGAAAGGTGCATTCTTCAGCTCAAAGGATGGGTTGTAAGATCTCTGATCAAACACAAGGGGGCCAGATCCTCAGCTGGCATAAACTGGCGTAATTCCAATGGAGCTGCACTGATTCGTGCCAGCTGAAGATCTGGGCCAAGAATTCAGCTTCTTGGCTGAATCTCAGTGCATGGTCAGATTAATATGTTGTCAGATGGGGAGAGCACAACCTGCATCGGAATAGGAATAGACTCTGGACTAGTTGCTCCTAGCACTCTTAAGTTAGCATCCTATATGTTTAGTTAGGGTCTTAGTTTTAACTACACTAACTGCCACAATGTCTGGGGAAACTGCTTGAAACAAAAGGGCACCCCCAACATGCACTGTGAATATAAACAATAAACAGATGGGACTCAGAAGTGTTTGGTTTCTTCCCAGACCACGCTGCAAACTTTTGCAGTGATGCAGCATGTTTTGGTCCCTTCTATGCTGCAAGATGGAATCCGGATTTAGCCATGTAACAATCAGGTCTCCTGGAGATGGGCCTTCCCATGTGCCAGTCACCATTTTCTCACAAACCCTTGCAGCAACAGCAATGCATATGAACTGAATGAGGCAGAAAGGGAATGCTAGTGCATCGTATTCAATCCAGCCAGCCCCTTGGTGATCTCTGTTTTCCTTCCCTTCTAAATGGAAGACTCTAGTTGTGTCTCACTTCTCGCACAGATTCATTCTGGACGTGGGGCAGCTGAACATCAAGCTTTCTTCAGTATCCCTTCTTTCTTCCTCCAGTTTTCATTCTTTCTCTAGGCCTGATCCTGCGGTTCTCCCTCAAGACAAGACTAACATTAACTGCTATGAAAAGAAAGGTATTTCCCCCTCAGTAAATTCAAGTCTGCAGTATCAAGGTCTATCTATGTGGCGTCAGCCACTTGTGTCAGAGGATTCAGTTACAGCAACTGGGGTTTTCTGAACAGCCTAAAGGAGGTTGGCATCCAGCTCCCACTTCACTTCCTCAGGCTCCTTGGAAAACTCCAGACAACAGGATGAGCCCCAGGCATGGTTCAATCTTGCATTGCACACTGAACTAAACTGTGTTTCACCAGCGACCCTGAACTGGGCTAAAATACGAGACTTCAGCACATTTCTGGGCCATATTAAAGCACTGATGTGTGCTACCTGCCCTGCAGAAGAGAATGATGTCATGTTGTAGAGTGGGTCCCCCCCCGCACTAGTCAACAGGAGCCCTGCTTACAGTAAAGATCTCAGTCATCATGCCTGCAATTTATTAATTTTTTTTTTAAGTGTAGATGGAACTTTAGCTCCTTTCAATCCAGAGCCATAGTTGCCCTCAAGTATGTGATAGTCACTCACCAAAGAAATGCTACATTCCAACATGGTTGTTGTTACATTGTAACATCTCCATCTCCATATTTAAATATTGCTTCAATCTGTGGCAGAGCGCTCTCTAAGAATAGTTTTAAAGTTAATATTTTTAAGTTCGAACAATAAATAAATACAGGAAGCCAACATTAAACTAACAAGTCATTATTTAGAACAGGGGTAGGCAACCTATGGCACGCATGCACGCGAGCTGATTTTCAGTGTCACTCCCACTGCCCGGGTCCTGGCCACCGGTCCGGGGGGCTCTGCATTTTAATTTAATTTTAAATGAAGCTTCTTAAACATTTTAAAAACCTTATTTACGTTACATACAACAATAGTTTAGTTAGATATTATAGACTTATAGAAAGAGACCTTCTAAAAACATTAAAATGTATTACTGGCATGCAATACCTTAAATTAGAGTGAATAAAATGAAGACTCGGCACACCACTTCTGAAAGGTTGCCAGACCCTGATTTAGAATAATAATTTTAAAAACCCTCTCTTCAAATACACACACACACTCGCAAATACCCATCATCATGTATGACTGTGGAGGAATGTGACCTGCCTTTCAGAAGTGATATTTCACCTGGTGCGGCGTGGCTATCTGTAGCAGTTTGTTTTCTACCAACAAACAATGTAAAATCCCCTAAAATAATTAGAATCCAGCTTCTCAGATGATTCCAGAAACACATACTACTCTCTAACATACAAGCATTTGTGGGGAGGTGAGAGGGGATCATTCATTGACTATAGTTTTGTTTGAAAATCCTAAAAGGGCTTTCAGTGCTTAGGAAAGGTGCTGAATTGCCAGACTCTGGAAAATTAAATTCTGTTTATCCACAGAATAGGTACATCATAGGTAGTATTATTCTATTTACATTATAGTATCATTCAGGTTAAGACTGTCCTTGCCCTGGCAAGCTCATAATCCATACGGACAAAACAGACAAAGTGTGGGAGGGAAAACAGATGCCAGAGAGGTGAACAATTTGCCCAAGGTCACACTGCAGATCAGTGGCAGAGTTGGGAAAAGAACTCAGGTTTCCGGACTCCCAGTCCAGTGCCCTGCTCACTAGACCACACTGCTCCCCAGTGGCAGGGCATACTCCACCCACACTGCTCCAGCCCTGATCTGGAGGATGGCCTTTAAAGACAAGTATAATGCACAGACTGTTTGCTAAGTAGTGCATCTAATCCCCCTTTTCCTGATTTGTATCTACTTGGCAAAAGGTCCCCCTCATGGTTGCCAGAGAGAGGAACAAGCTTCATATGAAACAGTCGACAGAGACCTGGAACATACTCCCTTGTATCTGGTGGGAATCATCTTTGTTACAGGGAGGGCCCTGTGTTATCATTAACATGTGGCAGAATTCTCAGCAATGAAGGTGACTGGGGTGAAAGGACTTTATGACACTTAATGTCTTCAAAGATCCCTCAGAAATGAAGTATTGCAAAGGTTGGATTAGGAAGAAAAGCCCTGGGCTGTCTATAAGATTATAGTTTCCCTTCCATAGCATTTTACATTCACAGATCTCAAACCACTTAAAACAGCATAATTCCTGTTTTGCAGATGGGGAAACTGAGGCCTGGAGAAGGAAAGTAACTTGCCCAAGATCAAACAGAGAGTCTGAGGCAGAACCAGGAATAGGACCTAGATCTTCTGACTCCTCCGCCAGTGCACCACGTTGTCTCCCCAGCTGCAGTGGGAAAACTTCAAGAAGTTCAGACTTGAGGTTGGATAAGACTCAAACCAGACCTCAAGTCAGCCAAATATGGGCTAGAAATTGTGCAGACAAGCTCAATATGACCTGTCCAGCACTTCTTTTTCTAGCCAGAATACTGGGGTTCTTTGGCATCTCCATCTTTGGTCTCAGCCACAATCTGAAGGTGCAACGATAAAAGCAAAGAAAAAAAACCAGCTAAAAAAATTCAGAGTCTCCATAAAGGATTAGGATCAAATTGTCTAGTAACAATTTGAGGAAAGGGAATTATAGATACTTATTCAAACTAACTTGACCATTCTTAATTCCAAGTATAAATGTAGATGCTATATAGATATCCTACTAATGTTATAGGCATAACAGAGAAACAAAGAAATTGGACTCATAGTCCATCTACCCCAGTATTCTATCTCCAGTTATGGCCAGTACCACAGAAGAAGAAACCCTGCAATAGGTAGCTATAGAATAACCTGTCCCAAGGAAAAGTTTCCTGACCCTTGATGACAGAAGCGTTTGCCTTGAAGCATGAAGTCTTAAGATCTCTCTACGCAAAGCGCTCAGTTGAGTATTTTTTAGTAATTATTAAAAGAATGCTGCATACTCTTGTTATCCCCTTTTATATCCTGCTAAGCTCTTGGCCTCAATATCTTGTGTCAATGAATTCCACAGGCTAATTGCAGGCAGTGCAACGAAAAAAAAATTCCTTTTCTATCAGTTTCGAATTTGCCTCCTTACATTGTCACTGAATACACACACACACACACACACACACACACTTACTTCCCCCCTCAGAAACTGAAGGCCAAGAAATATGTGAAATTGATGTTCTGCATAAGATGTATGGTAATCCCAAAACCATGCATTTAAAACCTGGATCATGTATTTCCCAAAAAAGCCGCAACTGCAACATCATTATTTTGTTAAGGAATTTTAATGAAGCTGCCAGGTTACTTGAAACTGTATCTATTCCAGTATCCAGCTGGATCCCATCCCAGGTGAATAGACAGTATTCAGAGACTTACCATGCACAGAATACTTGGTCAAATTTAAATTGGTAGATGTAGGACCGCATTAAAATAAAAAAATTCCACCAAAGGAAGCCCACAGCCTTTCTGAAAATAACCAGCTCTTAGGCTAGCCCTTTAGGATTGTACAGCATAGACATCAAAGCACAGGAGCGAGACAGACCCATGGCTGTCTCCAAGCAACCCCAGCAGTTTGGTTTGGTTTGTTGGATAGTGTGGAAGAGAGAGCTTTATTTCCTACCTGTCGATGATCACAGGATCCGAGGGAGTCTCGTTTCTGTTGCCACAACTTTTCTTTTCACAGCACCGGCTGGAGAAGGGAGGAAACCAAAATGAGAGGATTTCTGTGAGTATTAATGGCAAAGCAATGAACTCTGAACTACAGGCATTGTGGATGTTTAAGTGGTATCCAGAAAATTCTAACTGGCATTTTCAAAGGGGTCTCCGGGAGGTGCCCAACTCCCATTTAATGTCAATGGGGTTTAGACACTCGGCTCCCCTTAGTCTCCTTTGAAAATCTCAGCCAAAAGGGAAAGCAATATGGTCACACTTTATATTAAGGCTCCATTTATAAATGTTTAACAGATGTTGTAAGCATGTAACAGACATGAACAGCATGTGTTCTAGATGGTTAAAAGCCCACCAGTAGAAGGTGTCATAGCTGATGACAAGCCATGGTTATAAGCAACCTACCAACTTGTTGGACTCTGTAATAACTGATTGACCATTTATTCCACATCTGTTAACCCTATTTATAAATGGGAATGTAATATAAAAAGTTTATACAGTGTGGTCAGCAATGTGATGGCATAGAAATTGTATGCATGAGCCTCTCTCTGATGAACATGCAATATAATTTGAACCCAACATACAAGTTCTCTCCCCCATGGGTATGTCTAGGGCTTTACAAGCATATGCAAGATAACAAGGTCCCTGCCCCAAAGGGATACAATGATTAAAGTGCGGCATAGGGACTTTATTTAAAAGATACACACACACGCATACTATGTGTGTGCATGTAAGCTTGTGTATGTATATACAGGCATGCACATATATCCTGCGAGAGCGCTGCTGCCCAAGCCTGGGAGGTAACGGAGCACTCAACTCTCATTGCCGTCAATGTAGACGAGGCACTCGGCACCAGATCAGGACCTTTGTACGTGCCCATTCTGTTTGAAAACCAAAGGGCAGGATCTTATCTGGCATACCCCAGTGCAGCTCCACTGATTTCAATGGAACTAGACCGATTTATGCCAGCTAAGGATGTGGTAGCTTGACACATACATTGCGGGGGTGGGAGGAGGGCTTGCTATCTCTACATTATAAAAGCAGTTCATAGCAACAGTCTGCAAGCCCATTAGACGTGTTAAGAGAATCCTGATGCTGTGGTAAATCAAACAGTTCCATTTGACATAACCAGGATGTTAGCGGCGGGAAACAACATTTAATCAGCAAAACGGCTTAACATTTAAGCACACTGTATCAAAATTCCCTTCTGCCCCAACTGCCAGTGGATCAGCTTCAGTTACGCCAGCATAAATCCAAGCAGCTAGTCCCATTGCCTTTTCATGAAGTTATTTGGATTTACGCTAATGTAACTGAGAGCTGAATTTGGCCCAGACTGTTCAGTTTTATGTGCAGTGGTTTTGAGGGGGCTGAACGCATTTTCAAAATTCCTAGTTAGCCTGAATTCAGCTGCTTTCCGCAGGGAATTGCTCTGACCAGAGGAAAAACAGATAAAAATGCATGAATGAGTCCAAGGCAATAGAATATGAAGGATTAACTCTTTTGAAGTCAATAATACTCAGATATACAATGCTTAAAATATAAACAGGGATGTAAAACTTCCCACCTCACAGCTATTAAGCATTTTAAGTACATGCAGTCGATCGGCAAGCTGTAGCGTGACAGGAACTGCCTGGCTTTTCCTTTGTGAGTTTACACGGCCCAGCAAGGTGGGATGCAACAAGCAGATCTCTTTCATTAGCAGTTCTAACGTGAATGATTTTGACACTTTTTGTATTCCTTTGCCTCAATCCCACAGTTATCCATTGAGTCCATTCCTTTAAAAATAAAGGTTTCACTAGATATATGAGAATCTCTGGGGGAGGTACTTATTTGGTATAAACTGTCATAGCTCCATTGACTTCAGTGAAGCTATAATAATTTACAATGGCTGAGACATTCTCTCTCCTCCCTTCACTCCCATTTCTAACTTGTTTTTGAGTGCACCTTGTGTACGTTTCACTGCCCGTTGGCCATTTAGACAAAGTTTCATACTTGGGTAATAAAAATCAAAGATTTCAGATTTTCTATTCTAAAGAAAAAATAAACAGAAAACCCTCATTTAGAAGAGTAGAGGGTTGACTTCTATTTTAAAGCAGCATATATTATGACCAGTTGGAAATGAAATCAGGAGCAAATCTCTTGTTCATTTTTAATGCAGTATATTCTTTGCCACTATCAAACAAAAAAAAACTAGCTCCGTTTTTAAAGAGTTTTACACTGGTGTGCTTTTTTTTTTTGTAACAAACAAAAACCAGTTCCTTTCTTTGCAATACTCAAAAGGTATCCTATAGTCATATAACTCATACAGACACATCAGATTATAACGTCACAATAATACACAAACAGAGTAAAGCAATAGTACCTACACCAAATCTCTTTGTCCACACATGTTTCCAAGAAAGCTTGTCAGCACATTGTAGAGTTGTTTAGATTAAATTACGCAGATTTGGGATGCAACATACCTGCTTCCTGGTATAAACCCATCTCATTGTTAGATTTATTTTGCATACTTTCTTATCACATTTATGAGCTTTGAAGCATTATATATTACTAAAAATATGCCTTTGACCTGAAGATGTCCAAGCACTTTGCAAATACACCTCTACCCTGATAGAACGTGACCCGATATAACACAAATTTGGATATAACGCAGTAAAGCAGTGCTCCGGGGGAGTGAGGCTGCGCACTCCAGCGGATCAAAGCAAGTTCGATATAACCACGGTTTCACCTATAACGCGGTAAGATTTTTTGGCTCCCGAGGACAGCATTATATCGAGGTAGAGGTGTATTCATTTTCTCATTGTTTGCCTCTAGTGTAGCACATTTTTGGTAGATGACTAAACTATTTCCTCTCACCTTAGTACTTTCTGAGCCCCACAAAACACGAAATATTTTATCCTGAAAGGACCACCCCTTTCCACAAGATGACCAGTTTAGTTGTGGATCAGATTATTTCCAAAATTTCAGGATATTCCAGTCAGGAGTTTCAGCTGAAGTCCATCTCAAATCTTCAGGTCCCCCCTATCTAAGGTACTTCAAACGACCTATCACTATGGCATTTAAATACTGACAATCTTCCAACTGGGTTGTTATATAATAGTTGTTCCTTACTGGGCTGACCCTGCTCCCAGGTAAATCAATGGTAAAAATCTCACTGACTCCAGTACTGGGCCCATAACGTTGGTTGAAGTGGAAATTAAGACCCTGATCCTGCTAATATTTAAGCACCTGAATAACTTTATATACATACACATACACACACACATGCACACACACACACGTCATTACTTTGGTCCCATTGGAATTACTCACTTGCATAAAATTGTAGGATCAGGGCCTAAGACTTCTTATGGTCATAAAAATAAATCCTTACCACGCTTTGAGCTATGTCATTTTCTCATATCCACACAGGATACAGTAAGTCTAGCAATATGAAGCATACTGGTGAAAAAGCAACAAACAACAAAACCAGCCCTAGAAACTAGATGCCCCATAAGGCCCCATATCAAAGAAAGACTTATGCATCCCCTCCCCCTGTCACCCACCAGCCCAACTAAAATGGTTTTAAAATTCAGCCCTCAACTTTAAAAAAAAAAATACTGTCTCTAATTTCAAACTCAAATAAGCTCACAGCATGGTGGCCTTTGTTTTGTTTTCTTCTTCCCAACTCCTCCCTGCAATTGCATAACAAAAGTGTCTAAATTCACACCATCTGGACGATAAAGACACAGGCCCCAGTGGCCGCCTGGCCCAGCTGATTAGAGCTCCTGTCTAGTCTGAGCCTTGTGGCGAAAGTCACAGCTGTGGGGCTTGCTTGCACTCAATACAACTCTGTTATTAGCCAGCTGTAGGCCCTGAGACTACTTCTGTTCAAATTATAATACCTTTTAACCCTCTGCACACTGAGGGAATCGCGGGCTGCTGGCAGAAGCATAACAACTAGTTTTCTCTTAGTTGATAATTGGTAGAACAAGAGGACGACAAACCATTATTCCATGAGAAGAGACTGTTTACCTTGATTTCCTACCATTGAGAGAAAAGGATACTGTATATTTCAGAGAGACCGCCACCTCAGACGGACAGTTCCCTTTACACTGTAATAGCCCAAATGCATAAAGCCTATTGCTAAAACTTTCAGAACTGTAATAAATAAATAAATAAATAAAAAGCTCTAACTGAAGGGACTCATTATACAGTGGGGTGGGGGGTGGGAGTTGAGATTTTAAACTTTCAATTGATATGACAGATTGTTGCATCCGCATCAATATTTAGACAACTTTCCTGCTAAGGATACATCTGTCACTGTCTGACTAGAAGATGTAAGGAGGTTTTGGATGCACTTGTCTGTATCCAGCATGAATATCAGAGTGATTTTCTATGACAAATCAAATCAAAAGATCAAAAGGGTATTTACCTGTAACTAACAAGAAAAAGAAAACAAACCCTATAATTTAAAAAAACAACAACAACAGGCATCAGTTTGGACCTCAGAGTGGGCACAGTACATTAATGTTTTATGTACTGTTACTAATGCAAACTAAAGTAGGGGCTTTAAAAATTGATGCTACCACGTAAGCAGCATAGAGCGAGGAGGATTTGATTATTGTGCTTAAAAAAATGTCAAGTTTAACTAGAGTTGGATTCATTCATTCCCCCTGGTATTATTCAAAATGACGGTATAATGCCTCTTCAAAATAGGCAGCATCCTGTTTTAAAAGTATCTCTGAACAAGACATTTAAAAATCAAATGTCTTGATTAGGTTACACAGAGCTTTTGATTTGGTTCACTAATCTGTGTCTTATGTGGAAAGGATAGCCCTGAATTGTAATTCTTCCTTGGCTAATCTATCAAGCAGGAGTTTAGTACAAACTGAATAATGGTTTACATTTGTAGAACATTACCTTAAATCAAGCATGGAATATATTTATAGGCATCAATGGAAGACCAGTATACAAAAGCTTATCAGAGAGTTTATTTAGTACTTTTAAAATGTTGGTTATTGTCAAAGGAAAGATCAGTCCATTTTGTTTTGAAGAAAGGAGGTTGTTTTTTTTTTCACTCTTAATATAGATTCTCTCTCTATCCAGCTGGAGTGAAAAAAATGGATTACACTAGCTGTCATTTTGTTATTAAAATAGAGACCCTGGTGTATAGAAATACTAAGATTTTGCTTCTCCAATGATTATCTAAGTATGGATAAGTCAAGCCTTCCACAAACAGGGATAGCATATATATTAAAATAAATACGTAAGTTTTAAGAGAAACCAAAAAGTAACATGCCCCACTTCACTCTTCTTTAATATATACATATGCACAGAGCAAATTGTATGTTATGTAAAAACAAAAAGCAAATTGTGTATCACACCTATAAACACACCCATCTATGAAAGTAATATTTGCAATGTTCAGAAGTAATGGTATAGAGTTACTCAGTTAATGAGGGTGACATATAAGAGGCAAGTTTTGCATACATGTGCATGTGTATGTATGCACACACACTTTTGCATACTTCACCCTCATTGCAGTTTCCTGGGTACACCAATTATTCCATTACCTTTTGAAAAATGTGAAAAATACGTTCTCCTCAGCAACAAATTCTATCCTGTTAAATTGCTTTTACTATATCATTCACTTAGAAGGCAATACTTAAAATTATTAGTGCAATGTGATTTTTAAAACAAGCAACATTCGATCCAAGAGCTTTTAAAAAAACCTATTACAATAAATCACAAACGTGTTTAATAAAGGTCAAGGCTGGGTTTGCCTTTCATTTTATGAAAGACCATTCTGTGCACAATTTAACACAATTTAATATAAGGACATTGCCTGTTTGCATTATTAAATGTATCAAAAACAGTAATTATGTGAGCAGGAAAAATAATAAGTTACCATGGAAGCAAGATGTACATACATAAGATACATGTACCTAAAGACATACACAAATGTTATTAAAAACATCCATAGCAATATTTTATCCTTTAATTTATCATTTCAACATCCTAAATTTGTTGTCTATTTTACAAAAAGCAGAAGTTCCGTAAGTATTGCTTGTAACAAAAAATTATTTCAAAGATGTATTTTGGGGACAGAACTAAAGGACATTAATTATGTTCATTTAATTGATAATGTTAAAATATGTAACCTGGGAAAAATAAATCAGGAGCTCTTTCTAATTTTCAGGTGGGTTCTGGAAACTGACAGTAATCATTTTAGAAGGGGAAACTGGAAAAGCTTAAAGAAATACAAACTTGGGAATTCTGGGCCCTTTCATTTTGTTGTCCAAACCCAGTGCAAAATAGAACAAAAATAGTGCAGTTCAGATCTTAGGCAGGGTTTCCAAATCTGTAGTACTAAATAAATTGGTATGTAACACAAACCAAAATGTTGTATCCAGGCAAAGAGAAATTATTCTTATGGAAGAGTGTCCTCGGCCCAAAGACAAAACTCCTCATTTCTACAACTTATATGGAAAACCCCTTTAGCATCTTTGGAAGCAAACTTACTCTTATTAACTGAATAAATCCTATGCCACCAATAAAATTGTCTTACCTGCACATGACTTCATGAGTAAGCAGAACTCTGCACATTTCTGGATTCTTGTTCTGTCCTTCGTAAGTGATGGGCTATGAAAATTAGGGAAATTAGTATATGGAGGAGGTTTTGGGTTTGTTTGTTTGTTTGTTTCTTGTAATATTCAGTTTTTAAAAACTGCAAAGCACTATGGCTTGTAATTCCCACCCTCAAAGTCTTTTTTGCACAAGGTAGGCAGTATGCATATAACCAAGTGTCACTTAAAAACTGTTAAGATCCCAGGATCACTGAGGGAAGGAAGAGGCTAAGAGATTGTTTTTCAAATGCACTGGAAATTAAGGTATGCAATACAGACGCCCAGAAGAAGAAAATAAAGCACAGAGTGAGAGGGGAATGAGAGAGTGAGGATTGTACAACACAAAAGCCGGCCTCAGCTCACCTGTTTAGTGACTGAATCGATGAGCCTAACAAACAGATCCTGTTCAGTTCTGACACCTAGAGAGAGAATGGGAAGAAATAGGAAATCCAACAGTCACAGAGATTGTTTCCCCTACTTATCTAAGCCATCCTGTAACTTTTCTATTTCGTTTTACTTCCTATCAAGCATCATCTACAAGTCTAAGGCTGATGTTTTTCAAAGCATGGGTTTACTAAAGGCTGTCATGTTGGCCAGACCTGAAAAGCAACTATCCACAGTGAGAACTTTTTGCTTCCAAAAGAGACAAAGGGACTTCAGTGTATTTTATAGAAGCGATCTCTGCAAGGTCTAAAACTTTATCATGGGTTCTTCGCTCCCAACCCCTTCTTTCCCGCCGCCGTCTTTGTAGGTGACTTACCATTGCTGTAAAGGAGTTGAAGTTTGTAGTGTGTGCCGTTATTGGTCTTTTCATTGCCTTGTTCCTGAAAGAGAGATTTAAAAATATCGTCCCAGAATTTGTTTGGTGCTGTTGGAGCACAAAAGCAACCCGCTTGCAAATCACTAATGCATGTGAAAAGAAAGATCTTTGAGAGGTGGATCCGCTGATTGAGATAAATTAACCTTCCGAGTGACCCAGGACAGACATCCCTTCCTGTGGCATTTGCAGAAACTTTTCCACTTGCTATAAAGCTCCTAACTTTATAACATAAACGCTCTTCCCTTATCGGGTGAATTTACACATTTTAAGCAGGCTAACATACCGACGCTGGCAGGTATTTTTTTAAACAAAACTGTACCTGCAAAATAATGAAATAGTTTTACAATAAGTCATTATCGGTATTTCTTTCCTGAAGGTTATGTTACCGGGAAATCTCTCAGGTGAACTGCGACTGTAATTCATCAGAAGACAATTATTCATGTCGTCCTTCATAATTAAAAGTCCTTGCCCGTAACTAAACTAAAACCAAACATAGTTTGGAGGGAAGGAAGAAGGTTTCTAACTGCTTAAAGCCTGGATCTAAAACTCAAGAGCAAACGTTTCTGACACCCAGCCATTGACTTTGGAGTTTGAAAAGAACAGGCTTAGCAGATAATATGACAAATCACAGCTCGCTCTTCCAGCTCGATTAGGATACTAATAAAACCTGGCAGACCCGGCATATGCAACAACAACAACAAAAAATACAAATGTATTGGACCCCTGTGTGATTGTATTCTGTTTTATTTTAAGTGGATGTATGAAATTCCCATTGTATCTCCCGGACTGGCAGAAATTAACAAGCCTTGTTAATTACAGCGAAGGAGGAGAACAGGGGACTAAGCCCTCGTCCTGCTACCTAACCCCTGAACACAAAACCAGGGATCGTTATGTTGTTATGGAAAGGGTGGCTGAGAATGACACTACTTTACAAGGGCAGGTACTAGAAGTGGTGTGCGGGGAGGTAAGAAAGGAAGAAAAATAGACAGGCCTTACTTTATCATTTTCTACGAAGTCCACAAAGGCGGTCCTCTCTATTTCCACCGGCTGCCCCTGCCTGTCGTAGAGAGCCAGGACAAAATGAAAGAAATTGGATTTCCTCAAGTTGGAAGGTGGTTGTTTTTCGAAGTGGGCTCTGGACAAAGCTACTCCGCTGTGGAGGAAACAGATGGAATTGGGGAGAGAAGGGAGAGAAACAAATGAATTAAAGGTGGCATAGCAATCAAAAAAATCAACACAGAAAATGATTCTAGAGTGGGGGTAAGAGTCTCCTGGTCTATGTCGCACACTGGGTTATTAACAGTCAATTGTTACCAATGACTTTGATCTCGGTGCTTTCCTCTCCACCTTTGTGCACCCACATCACTTTCGATTAAAAACACTAAATTAAATAAAAGTGAAGCCTGCTTGAATTTTGGTGGCAGCCAAATGAAGAACTTTTTTCTCCCAAATGTTAGCGTCTGGAAACTTTATTAAATAATTTCCCCTCTTATGCCTTGATTTCCACTCTGTAGAGAAGAATAATTAACAGAACCTGAATATTAAAAGGAAAGATTGCAAGATAAATTATTCCAAAACCGGAGAAATATTTGATAATCTCCTCTGATCCATCTTCTTTTTCCCTTTCATACTCATTTGTTGGGTACAATGCAAGGGGTGTGTCTATACTACAATAAACGTAGAATATAAATGCTAAAGGATCTGAAAAATGATAAAATTCCTACTGAGTTCACTTTTCCTTTAGCCCAGGTCAACGCTCTTAAAATCTTTTCCCAACTAGGTGTCTGTACTGAGTGGGAAGGCAACTGGTTTCAAGCAATGTGCCTACCTTCCTCGGCAGCGAAGTTTCTACCAATTTCATATTGTTTAGTTACTGATCCATTTGAAACAACGTGTGGGTCTTCCCCGGTGCCGTTTTGTGGATTAACTACGTGTAATTTAAACACGGGTTGGCTGATTTTTGTCACACGTTCTACAGAATATGCGGTGATTTCTTCCGTGCATTTACCGAGTTTGAATTATTCGGGATCTTTTCATACAATGGAAATACTAAATCTTAGGGTTAGGTTTTTAGCAGAATGGGTTCCACTCTTTTCTTTATGTCGATTTTTATGGAAGGCACAGAAGACAGATACGGTGAAGAGGATTTCTCACTTATAGCATCGCTATGAAGTTTTCCTACTTTCTCCAGATTTAATTCCTGAAATGAATTCATCTAATATTGTTGCTTCACAGACTTGAGAAAAGTATTTGACTCTTTGGAAAGCTACAAATATCCCCCTTTATTTCTAACTCCAACTGGACAGGTACAATGTGACTGGGCAACACACAATTCCCCTTCTCATCCTCTCCCCCCCCCTCCCCCGCCAATTTAATAGTTTGATTTTTATCATCTTGAGTATAAGAACTTCGATCACTGTATTTTTACAAGACATCTAGAATAATTAGTGACGTCCCAATGCGAACACCGATCAATTAACTCCTGTGAATTAGCGATTTCTTACAGTGCATCTAACATTTGTTTTACTTTCGCTTTCCCCATCAAGGTATTTTTCTTCCCCATATTAATTAAACTATCAATAGTCATTTAAAAAAAAACAAATTTATGACATCCCCTCTCATGCTGCTTGAAAGATCTTCCATGGAGATCAGATGGAGGTGGTGAGGGCATATAGGGCTGTATTTGTATATTGGTTCCTAGCCCAACGTATATGCAACGCGGTTGTATGTCCCTCAAATCAAGTTGTCTCTATCCTCAACTTTCTTCTCGGGCCGATTCAGCCCCTTCCTACACGTGTGCCCGAAGGCTGTCTAAAGAGATACTTGAGGAACGTACTTTGTTTAGGGGGGACTTCGTTCCTGTCTCTCCCTCATAAAAAGATAAACAAACAGGGAGAGGAAGTCTATAACTAAGAGAACGCGGCACTGGAGCATTTATTGGCAATATGGAATAGAGAGATTATCCCCCAAACAGAAGCAAGAATGCATCCTCTTCTGAGGTTGTATAGGTTTTATATTCCAGCCAGCACTGAGATCTAAATTGTGTTGACAAAACTAATGCGAGGAGTTAGTAAGTAGGGTCAAGGACTCCACTCAGATCATCCGCATGAGAGCTCTCTGCTGCACGGCTGATACCGGCAGTTTTGACAAAACCTTGGTAAAGGTATCTCCCCTTTCCCTCGTTACTCAAACCCACGCTGGGCTCGCTTTCTGCCTAACCCTGTGCATCTAGCCTGAGTGGGGAGAAGGGTGACATTGGCTATACAAAGTATGCCCTGGGATCAAGGAAAACAAGGTGATTTTGGGTCAAAATAGGCATGGCCATTACGTTTAGCCGGAAGAACATTCCTAGTCAGACGTTCGGGCATAGAAGGATCTAAAGAGTAGTACTGTTCGCTTGTATTGCTATGTATGAGTGTTCTCTCCCCAGTCCAATCTCTGCTCTCTGACTTCCTCTGTTGTGTTTGTCCCTCGCTACAGCTTTGCCCTCTTGAATTTTCCCTGACTGGGGCGGGGAAGTAAACTGAAGTCGCGAGTCTGAACAACAGCGGGCGGAAAGGGAGCTTTCAAACGGGAAAACACGAGTCTCGATTACCTTTGTGCAGCTACATTTGCATCCACCACCCCAACATTTCTGACCCAGGACCTGACGGAATCCATTTCAGAAGCGAGAGATTTCTCTTTCAGAATGGGTCCTCTTCCTAAAGTATCTTGAATCCCAAACATTTAAAAAGTCTATTCCAACCGGCCACCGTTTCTTTAAAAAAAAATGCAACCGCTTTTGAAACTGACACGCACACACAGATCCCAAAACCAGTGAAGTCCAGCTTTAAAACCAACTTCTTCTGCTTTTAGAAGCTACGGGATTTGGTGAAAACGCCTTCCCCCCAAAATAGAAAGTTTTTCCTCTTGCAAAGTAAAGTTCTGCTCTCATTCAGGCTCGCCCGGTCCTATCATCCTGCAAACGCCGGCGAGGAAACAGCATCCAAACACTGACCGCTGTTAACCAGGATCACCTGTTTCTCAGGGACACCGGGAAGAGAGGACTGATTGCTGCCTAATCCAAAAAAAAAATCGCGATAAATCGTGAAAGAAAGGAAGAAATGGAGCGCAAGAGTCTGATTACACACCAAACTGCGGAAGCCAGGATGCTTCCCCAAGCTAGTCACCATCAATGGGTTACAGCACTGGGAGAAAACATACTAGGAATGGGGCGGAGCAGATTTCCATATTAGGGGGACTCTATTTGCATAGACTCACCCGATTGGAGGATTGCAGACAATTATAAAGCTGATATACACTAATAACTCCAGCTCCGGGCTACCAACAATTGCCAATGGGAAAAGCAACAGTAATCAGACTTTTCTGATTGTTGAATAAGTTCCTTACCAAAATTACTTCGCTTTCAATGTGTTAACCTCAGATGGAACCCACTCAGTCTAGGGTATTACGTTGTTATTCTAAACAAGAGAAAAAATTCTAGGAGACTTATAGTATGTGTCCCAGCCATCAGATGAGTTTTGTAACCATGAACAATAAAACAAACATCCTTTTTTGAAAATCTGGAATATCTTAATACTATTCTTTTAGGAGCACCATTAGAAAGATTCTCAGCGAAAACTAAATAGGATCTAATCCAAATATCAGGAACTGGGGGCATTAGAAGGTGCTCTCTATAAGGGATTGGTGACAGATTGTGTGCGTCAGCGAGGAGAAAGAGAGAGATCCACATATATCCAATCCATAAAATGCACCCAAAATTTCACACTACACCAGAGCTCTGAAATCGTCCCTTAAAACTTTTTATTTCGTTGCATCTAGGCAAAAAACGTAGCTGCTGATAGGACATAGATATTTTCATCCATGAACCAGAAAGTGGTTCCTGCTTTAAAAAAAAAATCTTTTTGGCTTGGTGTTATTTTCTTCATGGCCCTTTTGTATTCTGATCTGTGCATAGATCTTCCCCTGAAATCTATATAACACCAACGCGAAAACAGATTTCAAGACAATGAATGCAAATCTGTGCTCAAAGACCATCTGCCAGATGAAGGAATCAGATGTTCCATAGTTAAAGGGACAGTGCATGGATTTCCTCGCCTCATTATTTAGAGCCCCTCTCTTTAACCTGCTTTATGTTTAGGAGGAGAAATAAAAAAATTCTTTTCAGTCTCAAACCTAGTTGATTACATTCAAGTAAGGGACCACGGTTAGTTGCATTTTAAATACCTGCCTTTCTACTAAGTGTTAGATAATTATAAAAGTTGATTTAAAAATATATATTTAAATCTTTTCAACCGAAAAAATGTATATTTCATTCACACACGATGGGGGGGGGGGGGCGAAGAGGGGACTCTAAATTATTCTGTCTACATGCATGACATACATGGTATTAGATGAACTATAAATCTCCACGCGATCTCTGTTCAAAGATATTTACCACACTAACCTTTCTTTCCCCCTGAATTGATAAATATGCATCGAGTGATTTGTCAGTTTAGCAAAAGGAAAGGCTGACATTTTTTTTAAAAAGCAACAATCAGTTCTGTTCATTCCCTCTGAAGCACCTGGTATTGCCCACTGTGGGAAGACAGGATACTGAGCTATATGGACCTTTGGTCCGACCCAGTATGGCCATGCTTATGTTATGTGGTTAACAACACTATATTGTATAAATAAGCATTCCTGTGATGTGTAATGATAGTATCTTTTGATACAATTTCTCAATTGTGGAAAGCACTGTTTGTTTCTGAAATGAGTCGAGATCATTTAAACCATCAAAGAAAGGAATCAAGAGAATTCAAACTAGATTTACAGACGATAGTGGGTGATTTATATCTAACAGGAAAGTTACCTTCGCCCACTGAATCTTAAGTGTATTTCCTGCGTTAAGAACGATTTATTTGCATTTTATTTGTATCAGTGGCACTGTATCATTTAACTTGGCCCTGAATGTATTCCTATGGCTGGGATGGAAAAAAATCCCACTTGTTCTGACCCTGGATGGTGTATTAATAGGGAGAAAAGGCTTTCAAATAATTGGCGCTCCCTGATCCAAGTGATAGAGCCGATTGCTGTCCTTCTAATGTGTTAAAAATGAATCAGACCAGGCTCCCTTAAGATGCTTATCCAATAAAGTCTAATCGGTTACAAAATCTTGGTGGAAACTTCACTGTCTCGCTGCGTGGGTGAGGGAGAGCGAGCGCTGACCCAGGGGTAAACGTGCCAGGTTTCGGGACAATAGGGAATCGTGTGCCACAGTCCCTGAGGGGAGTCTGGCTTTTAAGGATTCATAGCAGGGTCAGAGGGCACCGACTCAGGTCAGGGGAGGGGCACCCTCTTTGCCCCCAACAGCTGCCATCAAAATTTGGCACTTCAGGGACAAATGAAAGCATCCCCCCCCCCCTCCCCGCTCACCCACCCACCTAGGGTCCCCTTCCCCCATCCCTTCCAATGCCAAGTTAACAGTCTGTCTGCGGGTACAACTTGGGGCGGCAGGAGGGAGGATCGCAGCCGTCCTGAGATCTTTGTGCTCTCTTCAGAGAGGCATGACAGGTTTGCGGTGGCGCTGTGAGATAATCCAAGCCAACTGACGTGCATGGACTCAAACCAATTCCACCCCGCTTTAGACGAGGGACCATTTATTTGAGGGTTTCCCTTCCCCTACAGTTTAGATCATTTACTTACACGAGGGGTTTTTTTTCTTCTTAAAGGACAGGACGATGGGTTTTTAATACTTTATTGAAGTGTTCATTCCAGCTCCCATTCCAATAGCAAGTGTCTGGGTTTAATACCGTTTGAGCCAAAATCAGCTAATTCCCCTGATGTAACTCCAGGACATCGCCGTTCATTTCAGCTGGAGTGACTCCGGATTCAGACCAATGTAAACCGGGTTTAATTTGGATTTGTGCTTCTTAATGCATCAGTTTGCTTAAGCGAACCCATTTCACATATTAATGAAAGGATAATGCCATCAAATAACGCTTGAAAACTAAAGAGAATGCACCATTTAAAAACACGACTTGCTAAAGGATGCCTTGAAAGTGGAAAGAAACCTCTTTATTGTCTTCCTGCAAGAAAATTAAAGCGCATTTAAAACTAAACAGTTTGGTAAGGGCCGTTTACGGCTGGCAATTGGAGCGTGAGGTTTAACAGCAGATAACTAGTAGTTTGAAACAGCAGCCCAAGGGATACAAAGAGCGAGAATGAGCTATGTAGTTTAGCAACCGGAAGGATCTGGAGCGACTCTGCCCCAATTCACCCTCCCAAAGCAGACAGAAGTAGAGTTTAAGATTTAGTACGCAGCCAGTTCTGTTACGCTTCCTTACTCTGTGGCCCAAACTGCCTTTTCAATAGGTGTCATTCCGAGCTCTTCTTTAAACCGCTCGGATTCTTGATAACGCTTTTCTTCTGTTTTTTAAAGTGTAACTATTTGTGGTTATTTCCTTCTGTCCCAAGCGCAATCTCTCCCTCGCCTCCACCCACATTTCGGTATCAAAACAGGTGAGGACATCTTGGCATGGTCAATGTCATGTGCTCTTCTTTTATTATAAACGGACACAGTACATTGCTTGTAACAGCTGAACTAATAGGTTTCTGGAAAATGAACGAGGACCAACTTGTCTTACGCTACACCTAAAGCAAATGCACACCTACAAGGAATGAGACAATGCCCCTCCTACTAAACCTTTGTAAGGGGGTCCTTAGGAAGCGGTAAAGACAATGGAGCAGATGATTCAATGATTACAAACTACAGATTTTTAAACCATCAATGTCAGCACGGAGCAAAGTCGCAGATTTGTTTTCTGTATGTCACATCGTGTGTTTTTTGGCTAAGTCGTGTTTTTAAATGGTACATTCTCTTTAGTTTTCACATGTTATTAGATGGCATTGTCCTTTCACTCGTGTGTGAAATTGACTCGCCTAAGCAAACTGATGCATTAAAAGGCCCAAATCCAAATTAAACCCGGTTTACATTGGTCTGAATCCGGAGTCACTCCAGCTGAAATGAACGGAGTGTCCTGGAATTACACCTTGCGTCTCTCTAAATAAATAACAAAACAAAACAAAAAATAGACCGCTGTTACGACCTGCTTAAAAAGACAAGTTTTCAAGCACCTGGAAACTAGATGATTACCTTATCTATGTGTGCACGTACCCACCAATCAGAACTGCATTCCCATGCATTTGTTTCTCAAGTGTATAATAGAAGAAAGCCTTTCAAGAACCAGAGAAGACGATAAGGGTAAACAAATGGTTTACTTTCACGATGTAGTTTGTGACAGAAAGATCGCTAGGAAAAGCTCGGACAGGCTACGCGCTCTTCTTAACTTCTCTAATGGAAAACAATCTGAAAGTCCTCAGCACAGATTTGGGTAAGAAATTTATTCCGGCTGATATGCATCTACTATATTCCTGATTTATAAAGACCCTCGATTTAACTGAAATAAAATCGTAAGGACAAGGGTCGCTTGGGTGTGTGTGTGTCTGGGGGGAATAACACAAAATATTTCAGAACCGAGGGTTTAATGCAGTTCACTTGTATGCAACTGACAGATACGAAAGGGAATACAGCCCTCAGCTGTGATTCAAAGTATAAAGCAAGACACAGTTAAATCAAGCCCTTTCAATTATACTTGTTATAAACCAATAATTTTATATATTTACCATAAAGTTTATTTTAAAAAGATGCTCACTCATGTGATTGTGGGGGGAAAAACACACCACTAAGTATAAAATGATTGACTCCACACACACACCCCCCATTACGAAATAACCAGAAACGTGGGTCTATAGCTACAAAATCTTAAGCTATACCTGGTCTCTCTCTCTCTCCCCCTTCCCTCTTGTATCATAAAGGCACTATTTATTATAGGCAGATCCACACTGATCATTGTTTATGAAAGGTATAAGTTTCAAAGAATCCACTGATCACTGCAACTTACACAGCACTGATCAACAGAACGTTTGGAAACTTACAAATTATTAAGTCAACATGCAAAAACTTCTGCTCCCCTCATCCTTCCCCAAAGAGAGAAAATACTGTATCCATCAGAAACTCTTTCGAGTTTCCCATATATTCCAATAAGTAGGTGCTTTTTCACTAGAACAGAAAAACACATCTGTTAGGTTTTATATTCAACTTTTTTTTTTAAGATACTTTTACTGCCTTTTGCCTAGCA